AAATGGATATACGTTGCAATCCGATAGATAAGACCCCAGCACCCAACTGAGCAAATATCATAATTTATTCTTTTGATAACTGCTGTTAATTTCTCCAGAGACAGATCCCCAGTGAAGACTACTGAACTGAGCTGGATGATGACATCACTGAATTCAATGATGAACTGCCTTTAACTCAGTGGTTCTCAAAGTGTGGCGCGCACCCGCCAGGGGGGGCGCACGAGTATTGCAGGGTGGGCGCGGGCAGCCAAAGGACGTAACTTAGAATGGGAGATGGATCGGTTTGTGAAAGGGAAGAGAAAAGCCATAGATGAAGTCGCACAGACCCAGGCAGGTGCTGGTCATTTAAAAGCTAAATGCAGAAAATATGACAAGGCATATCTTGCTCTCGGCTTCACTCACTGTGACTATACCGGACACTACAGTTGTCGCGTCGTGCCGCAAGTCTATACTGGACGCGACAAAGCGACCATTGCAAATCATTTTAACTTTGTGTCAGTATGTCATAAATAGAACAAGACATCAGTTTAATGTCAGGGTTTTGTCGTGTCGTGTCGCATCCAGTGTACACAGCGTCACTGATTATAATTACTCTACGCCAGATTTTTTTATAGGTTTAAAGGGGGGCGCGAAAAAAGTTTGAGAACCACTGCTTTAACTGAAAATTGAGTGTTTACTATTGACATTTTACATTATTGACACTATTTTTCTAATTAATGCTGTACAGTGGCTTTGACACAATCTGTATTGTTAAAAGTGCTATATAAATAAAGGTGACTTGACTGGACTTGACTTCTCCACTTCATCAGTCCCAGCGGCAGCGTAACATCTTGTTAATTCATGTTCGTGCAATGATGAGACAAACAAAATTAGACGATGCATACCATTTGACTCTCTCGTGTATATAAAAGTTGTCAAAGTTACATTGCACAAAAATCCCTGGGTGGACTGACCTGAATGAACTGAAATAAAAGCAGAATATAAATGTTCTTTCTCCGTTTTCTGCATTACACAGCACAGCAAGAGCACACTTCGCACAAGCACATTTCTCCGAACTACACTACCCATAATGCATTTCATTATGAACTAACTGTTACAGCCGTAGATAGTGATCTTCAGCTTCTCCCGCAACACTGTCAATTGATATGACTGCGATAAGTGCGCGCTTCTGACGCTGCGTGCAGCTGAAATCAACCATACACTCATCACAATGAAAACATCGACCTTGATTATGCTTGCTCATTTTTAAATTCAATTAGGCAGACCACGCAATACACACAGCGATATGGATTAGAAGAGCATTCACTT